GGTTCCAAAAAAAAATATCACAGTTGTACCATCGCACCCCTCTTCACGGACGCCCCCTCGTTATAAGGGACAGGTTTTGTTGTCCCGGGGAAATGTCCTCATATTGTCTTTACATTTAACCCGCATACTATGGACACCTTTAACACGGACAGAAGATACCTTTATTCTTCTTCAGTGAACTGATTCTCATAAGCTTACTTCGTCAACATGGGCTCACCTTGCTGTGCACTGTAATATCCTTTATTTTTGTTTTAATATAGGTAACATTACGTCCGTGTTTACAACACTGACGAAAAATCATTCTTTAAAATATTTTCTGTTCTTTAAAAGGCTCTTGAACAATTCCTTCCATTCCTTGACTAAGTAACCTTCACAAGAAAATGAAAAGAGACTTTTTGAACATTTAAACTGCAAATGTCAACCTTAACCAGGTAAAAGGCTCTTGAACAATTCGTCCCATTCCTGGACTACTTAGCCATAACAAGAAAACGAAAAGCGACACTGACAAAATTTAACTTGAAAACGTCAACCTTAACCTTAAGCACCTAAAAAACTATTCCTTAAAATATACTGTGTCAATTGAAGGATTTTTTCAACAATTCTTTTTGTTTCTGGACTACCTCTTAACCTAAACATGATTTTAATAAAATCATTTATTAATAACGTAAGTAAAGCAGCCCTATCTTTTTAGCCCTCAATGGTTATTATGGGCAGCCTGTGCTCTCTCTATACTTAATAGTATTTTTTAGAATAATGTAAATCAATGTGGAGTCCAAATGAAGTTGTTGTTGTTGTAAACAAGAAAATGAAAAGCACCATTTTGAAAAATTTAAACTGGCAATGTTAACCTTAACCTTTTGATGCGTAAATTAGAGGGCTCGGTGGGGTGCTTCCCAAAAACACATAATGATCCCAAGATTTTTATGTGCTTGGGAAGTAATGGTGTCACAAGAAAATCAAGTGCACCTATTTGACAACTAAGAGCTCATACCATTAATGAAAAGTGGACAGTCAGACCTGTATATTCGACAATTACACGTTTAACCAGAACTGTCCAATTAATTACTGAGTCTATAGTGAGAAGTATCAACGGCTGTAAAAGGTTTTTAGCAAAAACTCTTGACACAGCTTATTTTACATGATTTAAAAATAACTGGCCATGGTCCGACCAGGCAATATTGGTAAGCTCCATTAGTAACACTACGTCTAGCCACCCTAATAGGCTTTTATTCTTAGCTTACAAACCCTAAATCAACGTATGAGTGTCGCTGGGCTTTCTATTTTCCTGTGCCTCTCAGTAGCATGTAAACTCTGAAACTTGTGCAAAGGGTTGCATTTTTAGGCTGCAGTCAAACATCTTACTAAATAATACTTCCCAAAAGTCAAGTGGTTGTCCTTGTTAATCCTTATCTCGTCAGTTCAAGGTCCAAGCTCTAAAGATAATGATAGCAGCACAAAGATAAATTAATGCTATTTTTTTGGAAAGTTGATTTTCAAATTTAATCACCTAGTTAATGTATGTATTGATAATGAAAGGTGCAGGAAAATTGAAAGTTTCAAACATGCTAGTTCCTTAACTTTAGTTTCATGTTTGCTTACAAAGCTGCCTTTCATATTTGAGGCGGTCCATTTTATCGGAAAGAGTTTCTCTCTGGACAGGAAGCCCAGTTGTAGGCATACTACATGTGCCTGCAGCTTCTTCATCCACAAGATCACTGTTCCACCATTCACTTCTAATTCTGTCGAGCACTCTCTTGTCATTCAGTTGCTTTAGTGTGGGATTGTCTCATATTTTATTCCTGACAACTACTATCGTTATACACTTCTCTTTAATTTCCTCTGAAAAGAGACCTTTCATGGCGTTTACATCCTCTTCCCTCCATGACAGACGATCCCTTTTGAAACTCGTTTGGGACAAGCTCTTGGTGGCTGTTGCTGGTGTTTTAGGTTGTGACACAGGTTCCTGGTTTTCTCTCATGATGGAGGTAAGGTTATTGGCTGCTTCGATACACGCTTCTTCTTTTTCTGCTGTGGATGTTTTGTGGCCCATCAGATCAGCCAGGTCACCTCTCAAGTCTTTGTGATCCTCATGCACCTTTGTCATGGTTGATTTCCGAAATATTGTGGAGGAAACATGTCCCTCCATCCCTGCCTTCTGCCATGCAGCATCTATGGTGGTTGATATCTGTCCCGATTGTAACTTTAGTCCATTCCATGACAAGAAAACAGACGATGACGTGTCGCTGTCCTTCTGCACAAGACTCCGCACTTCATTGAAATAAACTTTGAGATATGAGAATAAAGTTGGCGACAACACAACATGGGCGGGTCCATGTGTGTCTGCTGTCTTGTGATCTTTTACTTTTATCAACATGCTTTCTTGACTGGTCTTCTTGGCTTTCAGGAACTCATCCATGGTCATGTAGGCTAATACGCCAGACCTATGAGCATTTGCAATTGTCATTTCAGTTAGAATGAAATTTCTTAGAAGAGTGTACATAGACTGATTTACTTGAATTTAATGTGCTCCACTCAGTTGGCCAATATAAGCAACTGCAGTTCTTGTTGATTCACTATTCTCGAACTGCGACACCATTTCTGGTGTAACCAACTTTTGAAGGTCTTCATTTTGTTTTTCCAAATGTCTGCGGTTACTATCCTTTTTGTAGGAGGATGACCATAGACGCGCTTTTTCTTCAATTTTTTCGATCATGGTTACATCAACCGTTACACTTGATGGTTCCTCGGTTTTTACAAAGGAGCAAAAGTTCCTAAGAGTTAGTAAGTGAGCTTTCACGGTATCTGGCTTGTACATTTTCTCTGCATAATCTACCAGAAACTTGTCCGGAATCAAATTTTTGTTAAAGAGAGAGGACAACCTTTTCTCTGGGTCAATTATGACAAGTATCTTGCGAACTTGCGAGGAATCCTGCTTGGCCATTTTTCTATCCCTCCTTCCACCATCTGCTGTTTGTAACCACTGACAAAAAGCTCTGAAAATTTCTTCTTCGTCCTCTCCATCATTATCTTCTACAAACTCCACTTCATTTTCTTCATGCAACTATACATCCAAATCTATCATTTCCCTTTGTTCTGTGTTGTTTGGCATGGCTGCATATTCCACTTCTGGGTTGTCTAAATCAGCATTCAATGGGGTCCAAGTCTTGAGGGAGCGCGCTTGTCATAAAACTTGTTTGTAGCGAACAGAACTCTTTTTTATGTCCTTGTGGACTTGCTGAATGTGGTTAGGGAGGCGCTTGACCACAGAATGGCATCCCGCAATAGGACAGGGTCTGTGGCAGTGATAATCCTTCTTTTGCTGTACAGACACTTCTGGATGCACAGGCTTTGGAAAAAAACTTTTTCTTACCCCAAAACTAGAGGTCATGTTCTTTGCTCTTTCCCTTTTACATTTATGGACTTCCCTTAAATGCCACGGAAGATGGATGACTTTCGACTTGCAGCCTTTTAATGGACATCTAAGTGCAAATCCTTTCGCTGGTGTTTTAACTTTTTCCTCAACTACACCATGTATTTGATTCTCTCTATTTTCTTCGACGTTGCCCCATCCATCAGTACTTGAAGACTCCTTGGAAGCTTCTGAACAACTAGATGGAGAGTACATATCCTCATCACTTAAATCTTCCCCACAGTAGTCAGCTTGAGCCGCCCAGTCAGTATAGAGGTCTTCGAGGTGTTTCCTGTGCTGCAGTACAAATTGCCCCAAATTTTGATCCCTGATCACAAAAACGTTGAGAATTTTAATCACTGATCACAAAAACATTGGGAATTTTGATCCCTGATCCCAAAAATGTTCACAATTTTGATCCCTGATTCCACAAAAATACTGCTGATCCTGATCCCAAGTGTTGTGATCCCAGATCTCAGGGCTGTGATCCCTGATCCCGCCCCTAAGCCGTTGATCCCTGATCTCATATACCTTGTTACGACCCTGAATGGATAGCTTGTATAAATAGCTTGTATTAATTGCTTGTCTGTTTGATCATAGTGTCAGTCTGTTCTAGTTTCTGTTTCAGTTTCTACCTCTCTGGCCTCATTCTTTATTTTTCGCACTTGCTTTCCTTTTTGCTCCTTCCTACTATAATGACTTATTTAAGGGGTGAAACTGCCCAGATTGGGCTGTTTTAGGAATTTTATTCTTCATACTTACCCACAAGTTTCTATGCTCCACCTCTTTCATATAGTTCACATGGAATTCTTCCCCGGGAGTGGAGCACTGACCAAAAGCTGGCCAGTAGGCTGGTTTTAGTATTGTTGACAATACCATGCAAATACGTTATAAATATATATAGGCAGCTGCATGACATTTCGACAGCAGATAAATACCAGACAACACTAATCAGCGTACTTTTGAGGAAACTGCTGTCTTATACCTATCTGTTGGCTTTTCACAGAGTATTGAACTCAATTTGTGCTGCTTTTCAGTTCGATCGGAAAATAGCAGCTGCAAATCAAGCGTAACCTCTTATTACGCATTTTAGTACAACTGATAGACTGACCGTCATGTCAACCACCCCCACCCACCCCACTTGGGCGTACCCCTATGAAGACTCATCAAATAAAAGAACAATGATTCACATGAGTTAAACGGGTTTTTTTTTTATAAACACAAATAACATGAATTGTTTTATTCGTTGGAAAGCCACCAGCAGAATTATCAACAGTTTATGTGGCATACGTTGATCATTACAAAAGTGCCCTAATCCTCGTTGCAAATATCCATCACTCCTTCTCGCCAATGGAAAAAACATTTGGTAATGCAAGTGCTGTGGAGTAAAAGCTTTGTGTGCCACACACTTGGTGCCTCCTAAAGGAGCCGTTGGTTTTTTTTAGCACACACAACTGCACACTAAAATCCCTCAAATTCATCTTCATCATCGCTTTCTCCAAACAAGCTACGTCACTGTTCCTGTCAGCTTGTTGTCATACACGTCTTCGTCTTCACTTTCATCGTCTTCGCTCTCCTGTTCGGGGTTTGCTTCTTCTTCCCACAGAATGTCGTCTTCTGTGCCATCAATGGAGTTAGAGATTCCACATTTCTTGAATGATCGGGTGACCATCTCTTCGGGAAGACCATGCCAGGCTTCTAAAACCCAGGAAGTCATGGTTGTCGAGGAAGGTGCCTTCACATTTCCTGCCGGGGTTAAGCTTTTCTCTCCCTTGACCATCCATGTCGTCCATCTTTCTCTCATACAGTCTTTGAATGGCTTATTTAGGCACACATCTAATGGCTGTAGTATGCTGGTCAATCTGCCGGGTATCACTGCCACATCTGTGTTGGTCTGGCGGAGTGCTCATTTCACCGGGTCTGCAAGGTGGGCTCAAAACGAGTCCTAGACAAGCAAATTTTTTTTTCTTAGCAGACCGCCAGGTCGTGAACTCCAAACTTTCTGTATCCACAGCTTCATGCCATCTGCATCCATCCAACCCTTAGGGTGATGATGTATGACTACGCCTGGTGGAAACTTCTCTTTCGGTTGGGTCTTTCACTTGAAAATGACCATCGGCTTCAACTTTGTGCCATCAGCTAGGCAAGAAAGGACGACTGTGAAGCAGGACTTCTCGTGGCCAGTAGTACTGATCGTGACTGTTTTCTCTCCTCGTGTGGCGACTGTTCTCGCTGATGGCATGTCGAACCAGACAGGCATCTCGTCCATATTGCCAATGTTCACAAGTTTGTAATTGCCCTTTTTTCTGCTGTTAAGCACGAAGCGATGGAAGTCGACAATCTTCTCCTCTAAGTCAATGGGTAGCTTTTGCGCAATCTTTGTTTTCTGGCGAAGAGCAAGATTGTTGCGTGCCAGAAATCTTGTGCACCAATTGTTGGATGCCTGGAAGCCAGTGATGTTCAGTTCATCAGTCATCACAAGTGCCTTGAAACGGATCATGTTGCGGGTCACGATGTAGCTGGACTGCCTCTGCTCTTCGATCCACACGATGAGTTTGTCTTCAAGTTCTGGCCACTGACACTTCTTTCCTTGGTTGCTGCACTTGTTCTTAGGCATGCATTTGAGCTTTTCAATTTGCTTACGCCAATCACGAACTAACTTTTCGTTCACACAGAACTCCCAGCTTGCTGTGCAGTTGTTAGTTTCTTTGGCAAACTTAACAACTTGAAACTTGAACTTCGCTGTGTACTTCATTCGCTTGGAAGGCATTTTCGTAAACAGTTGATGTAACATGGTCAAGACCTTGTTAGAAATGTTAAGCGTGATTACAGGTTTGTTTATTTCTATCGATAAGTAGCATTTTGATTGGTTTGTGTTAAGTTACTGAATGCAAACAACACAAAAGAACTTACCAACAGCACTTTTATTGGTCCACGCGCGAAACAAGAATACAAAAGACCTTAACAAAAACCAGTTTCTCTGGGTCGCCAAATCTTGCTAGACATCAATTAAAGGATAGACTGCCCTGCATTCAATTGGGTTCCCACCATGACGAAAATCCTGCAAAATTCCTGGATTTTTTGCATCTTGAAACTCTCTTATGTACTATTCTAACAAACAACTAAAACTTACAACAGCGTGTGTTATTGTAAGAAGGAAAAAACACATATGGACAGGTATAGAACAAATAAACTGTTGATTTATCAACACCATGCTTGTTTTCACATCATGTACACTTCATGTATTGTATTTATTTAAAGAAATATAAGGTTTACAAAACTTCATGTCCTGCAAATAGCTACAATGCTAATCTAAGCAGGACAAGACTTTAACTAAAGGCGTTATTAAATTACATAAGAAAAAAGAAAAGAAGAAATACAAAAACATACAAAAAAAAACACCTTACATATAAATTCAAGTACAAGGGATTTTGTTATTTGAAAAAGACTAAAATTACAACTAGAGGTATATACAATATATCAGGTTAACTTCACAAAATATTCTATTAAAAAATTAACATTCAAATAATTATCTTCATTACCTAGAACATTAAGGAGTAGTGATTTAATTTTTTTACGAAAATTAGAAACGTTGAGAGTCTTAACAGAAAGTGGAATAGAATTCCAAAGACACACCGATTCTAGTAAAAGATTTTTTCATTTTTTCAGTTCTAGAGAATTTGACTGAGAAGCATTCTTTTGCAGATAATCGCGTATTATAATGATGTTCTGTATTGATTTTCGCAAACTTATCGAGAAGACTTTTAGGAGCTGTCTTAGCATGAACGTCATACATTAAATAGCTTAACTGTTGAAAGAACAAAGACTGCAAAGGAAGGCAGTTTGATTCATTAAAAAAAGGGATTGCATGGTCTCTGGGTTTAGAAAAATAAATCAAACGCAGAGCACATTTTTGCAGAACAAGTATCTTATTGAGGTAGGTCTGTGGACAGTTGCCCCATGCACAGATACCATAATTTAAATAAGGAGAAATAAGTGCATGATATAAATTCAAAAGAAGACGCCGTGGAATTTAATGCCTCATTTTAGCAATTATTCCAACCGTGTGCACGCATAAAACGGTACGACAA